CTCTGAAAGAAAATCTATTCCTAAATTATATGTGCTTGCAGATTCTTTACTATAAAAACCATCACCTTTACTTGTTCGTCCTTGATACGGACATATAGCGGTACTTTACCTATACACTTACATAGTTCTCCTTGCGCCGCTAACACTGTCGTATTATCCGAATTATATATGCGGTATTTCCGAAAATACTTCCTAAAAAAATCTTCTGCCACACAGGAACACTGCGCGCCTGTATCCAGGAGTGCGGTGGCTGGGTATATTATTCACCAACACTTCAATCTTCGGAAGAGTCAAATTTTTCACCATTACTGTATTTAACTTGAAGGAAAGAGGGGTTTTCGTGGCCTTCGGATTTCCGCACCCTCTCGTCAGCAGAAATCCGTTTTAGTTTAAATTATTTTTCATTTCCGTGCTTTCCTTCTTTTTCCACTGGCCTTGAGACTTTTTTCCTGGATTGCTATTGAACTGTCGACGTTCGCCGGCTGTTTTTGAATGCTCGGGTTTCCTTGCCCACTGATTCGCTTTGCTTCCGTAGCCGTGTGCTTGAGTTTGCTGTAGTCTTGGCGCACCAAATTGGTTTCGCTGTTGATATTGGCGTCTTCTTTCAACGTCCGCCGTTCTTCTACTTTCAAACTGGATTGCTAGCTCAAATAACTTTTCCAGTGTAGTCGGATTTCTTAATTCAATAAAGTCTTGCACTTGGGGCAGTAACCTCGGCAAAATCACTTGAATTATCTCAGGATCCGGACGGTTTCCATACAAGAGTTTGAAGACATGAATTTTTCTTAAAATAAAGCTTGAGAGGTTTTCGATTCTTTGTTGATATATACTAAAAAGTTCCGTTTCTAATTTCGCACGATCCCTTACAACAGGGAAGGCTTTTAGTAGGGCAGTCTTGAAATTTTCGTAAGTATAGGTGGGACTTCCTGCTTGACCCAAGAGACTTCTGCCTATACATTTGAACCAGTTAAGCGCTTGGCCCCTCAAAGCGCTGGGAAGCTAAGGTAACTTTTTGAAATTCGTGCACGGGGTAGAGCATGAAGTGGTCATCCAATTTTTCCAAAAAAACTGGTTACCGGTGAGTTTCCATTAAATGTTGCTTCTGGTTTCATCGAAGCGCGCATGGTCTGGACGATGTAACCAAATCCTTCCAGGGCGGCAGCTGGCATTTCTGGATTCTGAGCCGTTTCTGCAGGCAGCACAGGTTCTTCTTGAAACTCGGCCATGGTTATTCTTCTTCGTTGGGCGCCACTATCAGGTTCAATGTTCCGTCTTACCTTCTTCGGGAACATGCAAGGACCTGACTCGGAACAGAAAGCTTACTAAAGCTATGTTCAAAACTGTGGGAAGTAAACAGGATACACAAGAAGGGTATACAAAACCCTTTATTTTTCTCTATTTACAATAACTTCCGTACTTCGGAATACACAGACCCCCTACTTGGGGTCTAACGCAAAAATATAAAAAATAGAAATAAACTCTAATTTAACTTTAAAATAATAAACGTGGAAGATTGGCCTTATATTAACAGGAAGGGTATGTAGTACAGAGAACTGTGAACACTACAATACGTTTAAAAATTATCAAGAGGATTAAAACCTCTGGCCTGGACGGCAACCAGCAACTGAGTAAACTTCTAAGGTAAGCGGCCTGCTTCGACTAACTGCTTCCTCTCTCTCGCTTGGCAAAAAGCCATAACTTAAATACTTGGCGTTCGCCAGACAAACTTTGCATAAAAACTTTAACGCTTATAATTCTGGCCGGAAGTAGAAAATAAGAAGTGATAGTAAAGATTTAAAATAAAATAAACGTTAGTAAAACTTAAGATCCTTACAAGGTAGGTATGTAATTTACGTGTGGTATACGCGATATTCTTTGGTTTTGTTGCGTAACGTTTTTTGAGCTGTGTTGCCACTATTAAAGTTCCAACCCTCGTAGACCCACGGACTGCAAATTTTCCATTTATCTCAATCAACGCGAGCAAATGCAATGCGATCCGATAATACACCAGCTCAATAGGCTACGATCCTCTTGAGATCGAATTTTGAGGAACCACTTGTATGAATTCCTTCTTCCTACATCATATATTACGTCACTTCTAACGCAAAAAGCAGCGAGTAAATGAGCTTTCTGAAAAATCTTTTTAATTGCTTAGTGATATCATTATGCTTGCATGTAATGTGTTCATGCTATGAAATACTAATCATTTGCATATCCTAGTATGTTTTACTTTTCATGCAAATTTCAAGTTTCTTATAAGCTTGCTTCATTGCCTAATAATTCTTTTACGGATACGGTATTTAAAATAGACAGTTTTCATGCCATACTTAAACTAATATTTCAAATAAAAAGCACATGGGTTTTACGTCAGGATTGGATCAACGAAGCTGAATATAAAGAAATGAGCTATCGGTAGTGACATCATAATGCAACACAATTCTACAGAAAATTCCCGGCATTAAAGCATAGTGAACTAATTACACACAAAAAGCATAATTATAAAATAAATTAATAATAAACTAAAATATTAAAGAAATATACATAAAAATACAGTAAAAAATGATGTAAAACAATGCCAGAAAACATAAATTAAATAAAAACACAAATGATACTTATGGTATTATAACAAATTACAGCAATAATTATTTTTGCTTTTAAGCAAAATGGAAATTTAATTATATCGTTATTAAGTACTGTTACAAATTTTGTACGTAGGTAGATAATTTTAGAGAAATTACATGTGAAATTGTTATAGTTTTCTGTATAATGTAAAATTAAAATCTAGAGATTCGACACTCTGCCGGAAAAATAAGAATACAGACCCAAGTCTATTTAACATTGAGTAAATGGCTCTCTCACTAATTTGGCGAGAAATTGCCAAAAGTCGATAAAGCTAGCAACCATTTGACGGAATTTTAGAAGAGTCCCTGTAAAATTGTAATGAATATTGTAATTGGATAACTCTAATTTATTTTATATGTAGTTGTAACTATAGTGGCTCTCGTGTGCCTTCCAGTTGTGAGGCTTTGTTTATTTATTTTTAACCAATAGTTAATTTTCAGTTAAATTACTTTTCTGCTGTTCTCACCCGCACTTTTTGTGACGGAATGTAAATGAGATAGGGACCGTTTGTTCAGATTGAGGGAGCAGGAAGTGCTATTAGAACGAAGGTTTCGCAGGTTGATTTTAGAGCGTTCTACAAACCAGAGCCTTTCCTGCTCGTTACGTCATCCTGTGAGCTGTTATTTAATCTATTATAATGCGTACTAGATCAACATTACATATTTAAGATAACCCAGAAGTACTGACTTGTGTAAACACAAGTTGTATCATTGTTACTTCTGGTGTTCAAATAAAAGGGCTTATACAACCTTCTTTTGACTTTTTTTTTCTGTAATCACAAGACTCGAAGATAACTCTTTGTCATAAATCGATCCTTTGGTCAATTCATCTTTGTCGGTTCGTTTCCATCCACTTATGAATGTTATTAGTCAACTCTATTTGCAGGAAATAAACTGGGACACTTATGCAGGTTTAACAATAACATGAGCTATATTTTAATTTTGTAAATACACATTAACTTTTCACAAAGTATTGCTTTTATTCACATTTACATCAAACGCACAAGTAATACATTGCATCTCTCAGTTCTTAACAAAAAAAAAAAAAAGAAAGAAAGAAAGAAAGAAAAAACTTCACTCTCGGAATACAGCCAAACTAATTTCAAATATTTTCTCACGAGCACGCCGTCCTTCTCGCAACAAGCAAGCTTCTTCTTCTCGTTGCCAGATTTTTTTCCTCTCTCCTTTCAGCTATAGGTCGTTGGCTTAATTGTTCTTCCTGCAGGCTTGGTCGGTAGCATCCCCATGTGCATGACACGCCCCTGCCAAGAATGAAATTTGTCCTTTCTTTGGGACGCATTTCATTAATCAATACCCAAGCAAATTTTCTGTACATTACTTTTACACAATACCAACCTCGTACAGTATTAAATAAAACAAAACAGAACAAGCAATAAATTATTACAATCATACTGTAAGGATTATGTTAATTTTATTAACAGTTAAGTTTTAAGTTAAATTCCTTTCCTGTCAAATTCTTAACTTCAACTTACTACTTCCGGCCAGAACGTAGTTTTGGAATTTGCTGAATATTTAATGAGAAGGAGCGGTATTTAAACCACGAAGTTACTTACTGAGACAGAGAGAGAATCAGAGTTTCTGAACTACGCTCGTCTGCCTTTTTGGCCGCTCTCTCTCTCAAAGCTGTTTTACTCTCGGCCGTACTCAGGCCCTTGCTAAGCTTCGTAGTAAAATAAGTTAAGGGGCCAACTCTCATTGAACCTTGATAGCTTTGGCCAAAAAACAAACACAACAAATTCGAATAAACAAAGAAAAAAAAACAATCAAATTATATTAATCATATCATATTTGATCCAGACGTGAGAGTGCATCTGCACTTTGGTGCTGGATCCCTGGCCTATGACTAATCCGTAAGTTCCATTTCTGCAATGCCAGAGCCCACCTCGTCAATTTGGGACTTCGAGGAGTAGTTTCATTCAAATATCTGAGAGGGTTGTGATCCGTTATAATTTCTACCTGAGCCCCATAGATCCATTTATCAAATTTATTCAGGCCAAATAAGACTGCCCAAGCTTCCTTCTCAATGCTTGCCCAATTTTCTCTGAGTTTGAGAAAGCTTTTGACTTGCAAATGCAATAGGACAATAGTTACCACTCTCGTCTATCTGGGTTAAACAGCAACCTACCGCCAAATTGGATGCATCACAATGGATCTGAAATGGCTTTCCTATATTTGGTGTGGCCAGAGATGTCACTTGGCACAAAGTATCCTTTAATTTGTTAAAAGCATTCTGTTCCAACTCCCCCCATAGAACAATATTGGCTTGCCTCTTCTTCGTCAACTCTGTCAATGGTGCCGATATTTCTGCGTAACTGGGAATATAAGATCGATAAAATCCCATTAATCCTAAAACCGATCTCACATCTTTTTTTGTGACTGGCCTGACGAGTTTTCTAATTGCTTTGATCCTTTCTTCATCAGGACCATGCTTGCCTCCTCCAATAATATGCCCCAAATATTTGATTTTTTAGGTGCAAAAGTACATTTGTCCAAACGTTCAGAAAATCCTAATTTTTCTAAAGTGTCCAGAACCAGAGAAATGTGTTTCAAGTGTTCCTCAAATGTTTTCGAGAAAATCACCGCATCATCTATATATGCCTGAGCATAATCACTATGATCACTATGACTATGCAAAGCACAATTCATTTCCTTCTGGAATGTCCCCGAGGCTCCTGATAAGCCGAAATGCATTGTTCTCCACTGGTACACTCCATTACATGTTGCAAATGCAGTCAAAGGTTTGCTCTTTTCATCCATTTGGATTTTCCAATACCCTTTTCGAAGGTCGATGCTTGTCAGCCAGTTTGTTGCACCCGCCACAAAAATCAATTCCTGCATGTGTTTCATGGGAAATGTTGGAGTTTTCGTTACAGCATTCAATGATCTAAAATCTATACACATTCTAACTGTAGCATCTTTTTTCGCCACACAAACTATAGGATGAGCAATTTCTGACTCAGAAGGTTCAATTAATCCTAATTCTAGCAACTCACGTATCTGCTCATCTACTGCTTTGCGGTATGCCATGGGTATTCCATAGCAGTGGGGTTTCTTCCTAATAGCAGTAGGAATAAGTTCGATCTTGTGTGTACCTACTCGTGCTGGTTGCACTGGACGTGTAAATAATGTTTGATATTTCCTCAGTAGCCCTAAAAGTTTACTCCTTTGGACTGAATCTAAATTAGACATTTCTAATCCTTCCAGAGATTCAGAAAAACTCTTTTCTCCCTTGTTGACAGGTATAGATTCAATTTCCCCAAACTCTTCTTCCCCCTCCAAGATAACATTTACTGCTTGGGATCTAACTACATAAGGTCTAATCTTATTCTGATGAACATGTCTTTTGGTCCCATCGGGCATTTGTACTACAAATGAGTGAGAACTTCTCTGTTCCAATATATTTGCAGGACCCTGCCACCTAGCATAAAGCTTGTTATTAGAATCGGGAATCAAGACTATCACCTTATCTCCCACCTTAAATGTTTTTATGGTAGACCTTAAATTATGATAGTGTGCTGTCCTCTCTTGTTGAATTTTAGCTGTGAGCTTTGCCTGCTCCGCTGCCTTCTCAAACCTAGCCTTTAGATTTTGTAAATATGTATAAACAGGAGTTGCATCTAATTGTAAATTTTCATGTTTCCCTGTCCATGATGATTTTAATATCGACAGAGGTCCCTGAGGTGTCCTGCCGTACATGAGTTGAAATGGAGCCACCCCAGTTGTTGAGTTGGGTACTTCTCTATAGGCCCACAACACATAAGGAATTTGCAAATGCCACCCTCTACCTTCTTCTCTGATGACATGATGCAACATTCTTTTTAAAGTACCATTAAACCGTTCAACTAATCCATTAGCTTGAGGATATCCAGGGGTCGAAAACTTAGGACTGGCCCCTATTCGTCTCTCAAATTCTTGAGTCAAATCTGCTTTAAAATTTGTTCCATTGTCACATGCAATTACATTTGGAATACCCGTTCTTGAAAAAATATGTAATAACTCCTCACAAGTCGACTTGGCGGAGAGGCTAGTTAGAGGTATTGCTTCTGCCCATCTGGTATGCTGATCAACTAAGCATAATATATACTTATGACCCTTAGAACTGGGAGGATCAATCGGACCTATCACATCAATGTTTACAATTTGGAAGGGCAGATCTGGCCTCGTTACTGGGGTGATTGGTGTCCTATCAACAGTTTTAATTGGTCTAGTCAACTGGCACTCTTTACATGCCTCGCAAAATTTCTGAACGTCTAACCTCAGACCTTCCCAATAAAAAGAGTATCTAATTCTCTCCACAGTTTTCTTTACCCCCATGTGGCCACTAAACACCGAGCAATGTGCTAACTGCAAGACTTCCTCCCTTCGACTCTTAGGTACAACTAATTGCCCCACACTTTCCCCAAGAATTTTGTCCTTATGAAAGAGAAAGTTATCCACTGTATAATAATTCCCCTTTCCTTTCTGAGCATTCTCCCATGCTCCTACCAGAGATTCACAAGTCTCCTGCTCTCTTCTAAATACATCCGCTGTACATAGTCTTCCTGGCTGAGGTTTTTTGGCTTTCACTTGATTCCACCTTCCCTTTCTCATTGAGATTCCTTCCCATACTAGCGTTTCCTTCTAGTTTCCCTGTGTTTACCTTCACAGACTTTTCCTTTCTCCTAACCTCTGGGATGTTTGTGGTTTCTTCAGGTAAGTTTTCCACCCCTTCACCTGTGTCATATAACCGACCTCCTAACATGGTGAATACTTCCGGAGGAAGCAACACATCCTCTGCCAGCGATTCTGCAACTGCACACAAAATCTCTTGATGTGTAACATTGGCACTTTCTCCTACAGTAATACTCAGCGGAATGCCTACCAAAGTGCATTTAACAGCTGGACCAAACATACCTTTCAAATATATACTCGATCCTTCCTTTAGTTGGAGGCTTTTGGTTAACTCTTTCTTAACCATCGTAATTTCTGTTCCTGAATCAACGAGGGCCTTCCCTATTGTTCCATTCACACTAACAGGAAACCTTTTCAACTCGCACATCTTATAGTCGTTTACATCCCCTGACTTCCTCAAAGGATTCACACGAGCTACCACAACTTTGTCCTCTAGGATATCATTATCCTGATCTTTCTTTACCCAGTTTACCCTGGCTTTATCCTTTTCCTCATTTCTGTTATACTGCCTAGAACCTTTAATCTGAGGACAGTGCCTTTTAAAATGTGAAGCTGAACCACATACAAAACATGTTAAACCTTTAACGTTCCCTGTGGTTTTCCCTATGGTTTCTGACGTATGCCGACTGCCTCGTCTTTCTTCGACCTTAGGTTTCTCACCTACTGCCTGATTTAAAATCTTAGTTTCACAAGCTTCCCTACGTACGTTGTAGGACTTCCCTTTAGCCGCAAAGAATATGTCACACTCCTTTCCAAGCTCTCTTGGCTTGAACCACGAGTCTCCCTGCCTTATACCTATGTGTACTGCAGTTTCCGTATCAAGGGTCTGGTAGATTTTGTCCGCTACCACCAACTGATTAAGACCTTCAAAGTCTGTCAAGTCTGTCACCCCCCTTGATTTCACATAATTTTCCCACATGGCAGTAACTCTAGTAGAAAACTGGCCAAAGGTCTCTTCTGAACTTCGTCTTGCCTTTCTGAAATTCTCCAGGCATACCTGAGGTGAAGGTTTAAATTCTTTCAACACAGTTTCCTTTATTTCCTCATAATTCCCATACTTATCCTCGCTTATCAATGTTAATAAATTTGCCGCTTTATCTCCCAAAAGGTAAATCAAAATTTTGGCCTTATACTCATCAGGGACACTTTCATTGACATAAGCTCTTTCTAAACTGGAGAAGAAATAGTCCCAGCCATCTGCTTTACTTGGAACCTTTACTGCTAATAATCTGATTGTCCTCGTTAACTCTTCTGCTGATCTTTCCTTCCCATTCTCCCCCGTTCCGGGTGTAGTACCCCTATTCGAGTAACTAGCCTGACAATCTATCTTATACTTCTCAATGGCAATCCTCTCCTCTGCCTTTGCCTCCCTATCTGTAATGATAACACTCAGAAGATCCTTTGCTACCTTGCTCCTCATAGCTTTCACTAGCAAGAATCTTTTCCCTCAAGTCCAAAATCCTAAATGTAGGCAACACTTCAACACCAAACTCTTGTGCAAGGGCGACTAGATCAGCCTTTCTAGATTTGGCCAAAAATGACATTATGCGACTTTATGTTCAACTTAATTAAAATAACAGAAAATTAAAACTAAATTTCCTTACATAAAATTATACATTAAGTTAAATCCTTAACTGCTGTTGAATCATAAACACATAGTATCTGCATTAAATATGCACAACATCCAAATACTCAATAAATAAAAAAACATGTATGTTTATATATAAGCATTTGAAAATTAATGCAATCATATCTCATAAATTAAACACAAGCATTACTTAAATTAATGATCATTCACTCATATAATAAAAGATAAATGCACTTGCAAGGTAATTCAAGTCTCATATGATAATCACACTGATAATTTTTGTCTTATAAAATACTTGTTCAAGTGTACCTTTACATTAACAGCAAATTTTTCATAAACACAAAAACATAAATAAATCACTTAACGAGAGAACCTGGTAGAAGATAACTATTCCACTTAATAAGCTTCGCGCAGCATTCGTAAGGAATTCACTTGAGCTTTTTCCGAGTCGACAAATATACATCCGACCAGCTGCCACCAGATCCTTTGATCAATTCATCTTTGTCGGTTCGTTTCCATCCACTTATGAATGTTATTAGTCAACTCTATTTGCAGGAAATAAACTGGGACACTTATGCAGGTTTAACAATAACATGAGCTATATTTTAATTTTGTAAATACAGTTTAACTTTTCACAAAGTATTGCTTTTATTCACATTTACATCAAACGCACAAGTAATACATTGCATCTCTCAGCTCTTAACAAAAAAAAAAAAAAAAAAGCTAACTTTACTCTCGGAATACAGCCAAACTAATTTCAAATTTTTTTTCTCACGAGCATGCCGTTCTTCTCGCATCAAGCACGTTTTTTCTTCTCGTTGCCAGATTTTCCCCTCTCCTTTCAGATAAACTGTTTATTCACACGAGCATGCCGTCCTTCTCGCATCAAGCACGCTTCTTCTTTTCGTTGCCAGATATTCTTCTCTCTCTCTCAGCTATAAGTCGTTGGCTTTCAGCTATAAGTCGTTGGCTTTCAGCTATAAGTCTGTTCTTCCGGCAGGTTTGGTCTGTAGCATAGAGTATGACAGTACTTAAAGTAGATTTTCTATTTAATAGAGGCCGCAAGGCCATTTTTGCAGCTGTGGCTTTTCAGAGAGAATATTCCACTTGATTTTTAAAAAGTAATTGTTAATCGAAATATATTCCAAGATATTTAATATTTGAGACTTCATTAACTGGCTGGTTATTAATTTTAATATTCATTTGAATAGGAGTATTTTTTGGTATCTTCGGATGATTAATACTTGAGTCTTTGAGGGATTAACTTTAATTTTCCAAATATTATAGTAGTGGGTTATTTGATTAACTGCAAGTTCCAGTTTGTCGGCTGTTAATTGTGGCTTTAAGGATTTAGTGACTATTGCAGTGTCATCAGCAAACTTGAAAACTTCAGAGTTAAGAGGAATTGCCATATCGTTAATGTAGATGTTGAAAAGGAGTGGACCTAAAACACTGCCTTGTACGACGGCGCTTTTTAATTTTCTTCTTACTAGAGGTGCATCTGTTATCTTTCACTTGAAAACATCTTCCTTTTAAAAAGGATTTCAATAATTTGATAAAGTTGATAGGCAGTCGAGCAAGGTATAGCTTGTAGAGTAAACCCTCATGCCATACCTTGTCGAAAGCTTTCTCTAAATCTATGAAGCAGCTGGCTGTTGTATTCTTTTTGGAAATTGCTTCTGCCATGTATTCAGTTACGTTCAAAAGTTGGTGCAGGGTGCTATGCTCCTTTCTGAATCCGAATTGTTCTTTTTTGATGATATTATTGATATCCAGATGGGTAGTCAGATGTTTAACAAGTACTGTGAGTATTGCGTGTTTCGATTGCCCGGGGAAGTAGTTAAGACGAATGAAAGTGTTGATGATGTTGGTGAGCAGAACCGTGTATCTATGGGGGAGAATCTTAAGGATTTTGTTTGTTATACCATCATAGCCAGGAGCTTTTCGAGTCTTGAGGTTACTTATGATCTTTTTGATGTCTGCAGGGGTGGAAAAGGGAAGCCGTGTGAAGCTATTAAGCTGGTTAATAAATTTTTTACCTCATTTTCAGTCTCTTCGTCTTGGTAATTGTGGGTGGTAAAAGTGGTTTCAAAATGCTCAGCTAATGCTTCTGCCATGTCAATATCCGAATGAGCTGTCCTTGAGCCTGCATTGATGGGTCCGAAAGTAGTGTTGGCTTTTCTGAGTGATTTAGCAATTTTCCATACGGTATCTTGGTTTATGGCCATAGACTCTAAAAGTAGTTCCCAATTATTTGATTTATATTCGCTCATAAGATTTTTAATTTGCCTAATTTTCCTGTTTAAAATATTTTTGATTCTGGGGTCTGCTGTGATCCTCCATAATTTGGCTGTTCTATTTTTATCTTTAATTTTGTTCAAGATATCTTCGGGCAGCTTAGGTTTTTTTGTAGTCTTCTTCATATTTGGTGGCGTGATAAAGGGCAGTGTTTACGCTTCTTGTAATTTGAAGCTCAATATCAGCAATGTTGGATAAAGCCGGGCGTGCTGGTAGTTTTTCTAGTGTGATCATTATAGGTGATATTATTATTGGGTGCGCTGTAAATTGAGATAAAAATAATAGGTTCATCTGTGTGCGAGTGTACTATTATTGCACAACATTCTAAGTTAGTAATTCCTGTTATGCTGTAGCTGGTAGCTTGAATGTGCGTCTTCGTAAGTATCATGGTACCCCCTCCACGATTGTATCTTCGGTCCGATCTGAAAGTATTGTATCCTTGCAGCTTAAATTTGTTGGCAGCACGTAGATGTGTCTCATTGATAAGAAAAATATCTATGTCATGTTTCGCGGTGAATTCTTGAATTTCTGTGCGCTGGTGCGCAACACCATTAGCATTGAAATATGCTACGTTGAGGCTGCTGGGTACAGCAGTATGAATATAGTTAAGATTAATAAGATTATTAATTATCACAAGTGGTAAGTAATTCAAAGGCTTCCCAGCCTATTTGGAATCTCTCCATTATGTTTTTAGCTTTGAAAAATCTTTCTAATAAAGATTCTCCCTTTTGGAATAGATTTTTTATCCACATGAACA